GAGAACGGAAACGCTCATTTCTCAAAAAGTAGAGGGAATCTAGCGGTCTCACTTGATCACAAGGTGGGAAATATATAAATCTAGTAAGCTAATAAGGTTCGAAAGGAATCTAATGCATATGTATATGGAAAATGGTGCATTGGCCAGGTCGGTCAGTATGGGAACTTAGAGTGCAAATGCCAGGGAGAACGGAAGCGCTCAGATCTCGCATAGTACACGGAATCTAGTGGTCTCACTCAAATAGAAGGTAGGAAATAAATTCATCTAGTGAACGTAAGGGTTTGAAAGGTAACTAACACACATGTGTAGAGAAAATGGAGCATCGGCCAGTCTGACTGGCATTTCGCACTTATAGTGCAAGTAGGGCCAAGGAGAACGGAAACGCTCATTTCTCAAAAAGTAAAGGGAATCTAGCAGTCTCACTCGATCAGAAGGTGGGAAATATATAAATCTAGTGAGCCAATAAGGTTCGAAAGGAATCTAATGCATATGTATATGGAAAATGGTGCATTGGCCAGGTCGGTCAGTATGGGAACTTAGAGTGCAAATGCCAGGGAGAACGGAAGCGCTCAGATCTCGCATAGTACACGGAATCTAGTGGTCTCACTCAAATAGAAGGTAGGAAATAAATTCATATAGTGAACGTAAGGGTTTGAAAGGTAACTAACGCACATGTGTAGAGAAAATGGAGCATCGGCCAGTCTGGCCGGCATTTCGCACTTATAGTGCAAGTAGGGCCAAGGAGAACGGAAACGCTCATTTCTCAAAAAGTAAAGGGAATCTAGCACTCTCACTCGATCAGAAGGTGGGAAATATATAAATCTAGTGAGCTTATAAGGTTCGAAAGGAATCTAATGCATATGTATATGGAAAATGGTGCATTGGCCAGGTCGGTCAGTATGGGAACTTAAAGTGCAAATGCCTGGGAGAACGGAACCGCTCAGATCTCGCATAATACACGGAATCTAGTGGTCTAACTCAAATATAAGGTAGGAAATATATTCATCTAGTGAACGTAAGGGTTTGAAAGGTAACTAACGCACATGTGTAGAGAAAATGGTGCATCGGCCAGTCTGGCCGGCATTTCGCACTCATAGTGCAGGTGGGGCCAGGGAGAACGGAAACGCTCGTTTCTCAAAAAGTAGAGGGAATCTAATGGTCTCACTCGATCAGAAGGTGGGAAATATATAAATCTAGTCAGCTAAAAAGGTTTGAAATGTATTCAACGCACATGTATAGAGAAAATGGTGCATTGGCCAGGTCGGTCAGTATCGGAACTTAAAATGCAAATGCCAGGGAGAACGGAAGCGCTCAGATCTCGCATAGTACACGGAATCAAGTGGTCTCACTCAAATAGAAAGTAGGAAATAAATTCATCTAGTGAACGTAAGGGTTTGAAAGGTAACTAACGCACATGTGTAGAGAAAATTGTGCATCGGCCAGTCTGGCCGGCATTTCGCACTTATAGTGCAACTAGGGCCAAGGAGAACGGAAACGCTCATTTCTCAAAAAGTAGAGGGAATCTAGCGGTCTCACTTGATCAGAAGGTGGGAAATATATAAATCTAGTAAGCTAATAAGGTTCGAAAGGAATCTAATGCATATGTATATGGAAAATGGTGCATTGGCCAGGTCGGTCAGTATGGGAACTTAGAGTGCAAATGCCAGGGAGAACGGAAGCGCTCAGATCTCGCATAGTACACGGAATCTAGTGGTCTCACTCAAATAGAAGGTAGGAAATAAATTCATCTAGTGAACGTAAGGGTTTGAAAGGTAACTAACACACATGTGTAGAGAAAATGGTGCATCGGCCAGTCTGACCGGCATTTCGCACTTATAGTGCAAGTAGGGCCAAGGAGAACGGAAACGCTCATTTCTCAAAAAGTAAAGGGAATCTAGCAGTCTCACTCGATCAGAAGGTGGGAAATATATAAATCTAGTGAGCCAATAAGGTTCGAAAGGAATCTAATGCATATGTATATGGAAAATGGTGCATTGGCCAGGTCGGTCAGTATGGGAACTTAGAGTGCAAATGCCAGGGAGAACGGAAGCGCTCAGATCTCGCATAGTACACGGAATCTAGTGGTCTCACTCAAATAGAAGGTAGGAAATAAATTCATCTAGTGAACGTAAGGGTTTGAAAGGTAACTAACGCACATGTGTAGAGAAAATGGAGCATCGGCCAGTCTGGCCGGCATTTCGCACTTATAGTGCAAGTAGGGCCAAGGAGAACGGAAACGCTCATTTCTCAAAAAGTAAAGGGAATCTAGCACTCTCACTCGATCAGAAGGTGGGAAATATATAAATCTAGTGAGCTTATAAGGTTCGAAAGGAATCTAATGCATATGTATATGGAAAATGGTGCATTGGCCAGGTCGGTCAGTATGGGAACTTAAAGTGCAAATGCCTGGGAGAACGGAACCGCTCAGATCTCGCATAATACACGGAATCTAGTGGTCTCACTCAAATATAAGGTAGGAAATATATTCATCTAGTGAACGTAAGGGTTTGAAAGGTAACTAACGCACATGTGTAGAGAAAATGGTGCATCGGCCAGTCTGGCCGGCATTTCACACTCATAGTGCAGGTGGGGCCAGGGAGAACGGAAACGCTCGTTTCTCAAAAAGTAGAGGGAATCTAATGGTCTCACTCGATCAGAAGGTGGGAAATATATAAATCTAGTCAGCTAAAAAGGTTTGAAATGTATTCAACGCACATGTATAGAGAAAATGGTGCATTGGCCAGGTCGGTCAGTATCGGAACTTAAAATGCAAATGCCAGGGAGAACGGAAGCGCTCAGATCTCGCATAGTACACGGAATCAAGTGGTCTCACTCAAATAGAAAGTAGGAAATAAATTCATCTAGTGAACGTAAGGGTTTGAAAGGTAACTAACGCACATGTGTAGAGAAAATTGTGCATCGGCCAGTCTGGCCGGCATTTTGCACTTATAGTGCAAGTAGGGCCAAGGAGAACGGAAACGCTCATTTCTCGAAAAGTAGAGTGAATCTAGCGGTCTCACTTGATCAGAAGGTGAGAAATATATAAATCTAGTAAGCTAATAAGGTTCGAAAGGAATCTAATGCATATGTATATGGAAAATGGTGCATTGGCCAGGTCGGTCAGTATGGGAACTTAGAGTGCAAATGCCAGGGAGAACGGAAGCGCTCAGATCTCGCATAGTACACGGAATCTAGTGGTCTCACTCAAATAGAAGGTATGAAATAAATTCATCTAGTGAACGTAAGGGTTTGAAAGGTAACTAACACACATGTGTAGAGAAAATGGTGCATCGGCCAGTCTGGTCGGCATTTCGCACTTATAGTGCAAGTAGGGCCAAGGAGAACGGAAACGCTCATTTCTCAAAAAGTAAAGGGAATCTAGCGGTCTCACTCGATCAGAAGGTGGGAAATATATAAATCTAGTCAGCTAATAAGGTTCGGAAGGAATCTAATGCATATGTATATGGAAAGTGGTGCATTGGCCAGGTCGGTCAGTATGGGAACTTAGAGTGCAAATGCCTGGGAGAACGGAACCGCTCAGATCTCGCATAATGCACGGAATCTAGTGGTCTCACTCAAACATAAGGTAGGAAATATATTCATCTAGTGAACGTAAGGGTTTGAAAGGTAACTAACGCACATGTGTAGAGAAAATGGTGCATCGGCCAGTCTGGCCGGCATTTCGCACTCATAGTGCAGGTGGGGCCAGAGAGAACGGAAACGCTCGTTTCTCAAAAAGTAGAGGGAATCTAATGGTCTCACTCGATCAGAAGGTGGGAAATATATAAATCTAGTCAGCTAAAAAGGTTTGAAATGTATTCAACGCACATGTATAGAGAAAATGGTGCATTGGCCAGGTCGGTCAGTATCGGAACTTAAAATGCAAATGCCAGGGAGAACGGAAGCGCTCAGATCTCGCATAGTACACGGAATCAAGTGGTCTCACTCAAATAGAAAGTAGGAAATCTATTCATCTAGTGAACGTAAGGGTTTGAAAGGTAACTAACGCACATGTGTAGAGAAAATTGTGCATCGGCCAGTCTGGCCGGCATTTCGCACTTATAGTGCAACTAGGGCCAAGGAGAACGGAAACGCTCATTTCTCAAAAAGTAGAGGGAATCTAGCGGTCTCACTCGATCAGAAGGTGGGAAATATATAAATCTAGTGAGCTAATAAGGTTCGAAAGGAATCTAATACATATGTATATGGAAAATGGTGCATTGGCTAGGTCGGTCAGTATGGGAACTTAGAGTGCAAATGACATGGACGTGGACGTGGACGTGGACGTGGACATGGACATGGACATGGACGTGGACATGGACGTAGACGTGGACATGGACGTGGATGTGGACATGGACGTGGAAGTGTCCATGTCCACGTCCACGTCCACGTCTATGTCCACGTCCACGTTCACGTCCACGTCCATGTCCATGTCCATGTCCACGTCCACGTCCATGTCCACGTCCACGTCCATGTCCAAGTCCATGTCCCTGTCTACGTCCACGTCCACGTCCATGTCCACGTCCACGTCCTCGTCCACGTCCAGGTCCACGTCCATGTCTACGTCCACGTCCACGTCCACGTCCATGTCCACGTCCAAGTCCATGTCCACGACCACGTCCACGTTCACGACCACGTCCACGTCCACGTCCACGTCCACGTCTAAGTCCATGTCCACGTCCACGTCCATGTCCACGTCCACGTCCATGTCCACGTCCACGTCCACGTCCATGTCCACGTCCACGTCCATGTCCACGTCCACGTCCACGTCCACGTCCACGTCCACGTCCACGTCCACGTCCACTCCACGTCCACCTCCACGTCCACGTCCACCTCCACGTCCACGTCCACGTCCACGTCCACGTCCACGTCCACGTCCATGTCCATGTCCAGGTCCACGTTCACGTCCATGTCCACGTCCAAGTTCTCCACGTCCACGTCCACGTCCACGTCCACGTCCACGTCCATGTCCACGTCCACGTCCATGTCCACGTCCATGTTCACGTCCACGTCTTGTCCACGTCCACGTCCATGTCCACGTCCACGTCCACGTCCACGACCATGTCCGCGTCCACGTCCATGTCCACGTCCACGTCCATGTCCACGTCCATGTCCACGTCCACGTCCACGTCCACGTCCACGTCCACGTCCATGTCCACGTCCACGTCCACGTCCATGTCCACGTCCAAGTCCTCCACGTTCACGTCCACGTCCACGTTCACGTCCATGTCCACGTCCAAGTTCTCCACGTCCACGTCCACGTCCACGTCCTCCACGTCCACGTCCACGTCCACGTCCACGTCCACTCCAGTCCACGTCCACGTCCACTCCACGTCCACTCCACGTCCACGTCCACGTCCACGTCCACGTCCATGTCCACGCCCATGTCCACGTCCACGTCCACGTCCACGTCCACGTCCACGTCCACGTCCACGTCCACGTCCACGTCCATGTCCACGTCCACGTCCACGTCCACGTCCACGTCCACGTCACGTCCACGTCCACGTCACGTCCACATCCACGTCCATGTCAACGTCCACGTCCACGTCCACGTCCACTCCACGTCCACGTCCATGTCCACGTCCAAGTCCTCCACGTCCACGTCCACGTTCACGTCCATGTCCACGTCCAAGTTCTCCACATCCACGTCCACGTCCACGTCCACGTCCACGTCCTCCACGTCCACGTCCACGTCCACGTCCACGTCCACGTCCACGTCCACGTCTACGTCTACGTCCACGTCCATGTCTACGTCCACGTCCACGTCCATGTCCACGTCCACGTCCACGTCCACGTCCACGTCCACGTCCACGTCCATGTCCACGTCCACGTCCACGTCCATGTCGACGTCCACGTCCACGTCCACGTCCACGTCCACGTCCACGTCCACGTCCACGTCCACTCCACGTCCACCTCCACGTCCACGTCCACCTCCACGTCCACGTCCACGTCCACGTCCACGTCCACGTCCACGTCCACGTCCATGTCCACGTCCATGTCCACGTCCAAGTTCTCCACGTCCACGTTCTCCACGTCCACGTCCACGTCCACGTCCACGTCCACGTCCACGTCCATGTCCACGTCCACGTCCATGTCCACGTCCATGGTCACGTCCACGTCTTGTTCACGTCCACGTCCATGTCCACGTCCACGTCCACGTCCACGTCCACGACCATGTCCACGTCCACGTCCATGTCCACGTCCACGTCCACGACCACGTCCATGTCCAGGTCCATGTCCACGTCCACGTCCACGTCCACGTCCATGTCCACGTCCACGTCCACGTCCACGTCCACGTCCATGTCCACGTCCACGTCCACGTCCATGTCCACGTCCAAGTCCTCCACGTCCACGTCCACGTCCACGTTCACGTCCATGTCCACGTCCAAGTTCTCCATGTCCACGTCCACGTCCACGTCCACGTCCACCTCCACGTCCACGTCCACGTCCACGTCCACGTCCACGTCCACGTCCACGTCCACGTCCATGTCCACGTCCACGTCCACGTCCACGTCCTCTCCACGTCCACCTCCACGTCCACGTCCACCTCCACGTCCACGTCCACGTCCACGTCCACGTCCACGTCCATGTCCACGTCCAGGTCCACGTTCACGTCCATTTCCACGTCCAAGTTCTCCACGTCCACGTCCACGTCCAAGTCCACGTCCACGTCCATGTCCACGTCCACGTCCATGTCCACGTCCATGTTCACGTCCACGTCTTGTTCACGTCCACGTCCATGTCCACGTCCACGTCCACGTCCACGTCCACGACCATGTCCACGTCCACGTCCATGTCCACGTCCACGTCCACGTCCACGTCCATGTCCAAGTCCATGTCCACGTCCACTTCCACGTCCACGTCCATGTCCACGTCCACGTCCACGTCCACGTCCACGTCCATGTCCACGTCCATGTCCACGTCCACGTCCACGTCCATGTCCACGTCCAAGTCCTCCACGTCCACGTCCACGTCCACGTTCACGTCCATGTCCACGTCCACGTCCACGTCCACGTCCACGTCCACGTCCACGTCCTCCACGTCCACGTCCACGTCCACGTCCACGTCCACGTCCACGTCCATGTCCACGTCCACGTCCACTCCACGTCCACTCCACGTCCACGTCCATGTCCACGTCCACGTCCACGTCCATGTCCACGTCCATGTCCACGTCCACGTCCACGTCCATGTCCACGTCCATGTCCACGTCCACGTCCACGTCCACCTCCACGTCCACGTCCACGTCCACGTCCACGTCCACGTCCACGTCACGTCCACGTCCACGTCCATGTCCACGTCCACGTCCACGTCAACGTCCACGTCCACGTCCACGTCCACTCCACGTCCACGTCCATGTCCACGTCCAAGTCCTCCACGTCCACGTCCACGTTCACGTCCATGTCCACGTCCAAGTTCTCCACGTCCACGTCCACGTCCACGTCCTCCACGTCCACGTCCACGTCCACGTCCACGTCCATGTCCACGTCCACGTCCACGTCTACGTCTACGTCCACGTCCATGTCCACGTCCACGTCCACGTCCACGTCCATGTCCACGTCCATGTCCACGTCCACGTCCACGTCCACGTCCACGTCCACGTCGACGTCGACGTCCACTCCATGTCCACCTCCACGTCCACCTCCACCTCCACGTCCACCTCCACGTCCACGTCCACGTCCACGTCCACGTCCACGTCCACGTCCATGTCCACGTCCACGTCCATGTCCACGTCCATGTTCACGTCCACGTCTTGTTCACGTCCACGTCCATGTCCACGTCCACGTCCACGTCCACGTCCACGTCCACGTCCATGTCCACGTCCACGTCCACGTCCATGTCCACGTCCAAGTCCTCCACGTCCACGTCCACGTCCACGTTCACGTCCACGTCCAAGTTCTCCACGTCCACGTCCACGTCCACGTCCACGTCCACGTCCTCCACGTCCACGTCCACGTCCACGTCCACGTCCACGTCCACGTCCACGTCCACGTCCACGTCCACTCCACGTCCACTCCACGTCCACGTCCACGTCCACGTCCACGTCCACGTCCATGTCCACGTCCATGTCCACGTCCACGTCCACGTCCATGTCCACGTCCATGTCCACGTCCACGTCCACGTCCACCTCCATGTCCACGTCCACGTCCACCTCCATGTCCACGTCCACGTCCACGTCACGTCCACGTCCATGTCCACGTCCACGTCCACGTCAACGTCCACGTCCACGTCTACGTCCACTCCACGTCCACGTCCACGTCCACTCCACGTCCACGTCCATGTCCACGTCCAAGTCCTCCACGTCCACGTCCACGTTCACGTCCATGTCCACGTCCAAGTTCTCCACGTCCACGTCCACGTCCACGTCCACGTCCACGTCCACGTCCTCCACGTCCACGTCCACGTCCACGTCCACGTCTACGTCTACGTCCACGTCCATGTACACGTCCACGTCCACGTCCATGTCCACGTCCATGTCCACGTCCACGTCCACGTCCACGTCCACGTCCACTCCACGTCCACCTCCACGTCCACGTCCACCTCCACGTCTACGTCCACCTCCACGTCCACGTCCACGTCCACGTCGACGTCCAAGTCCACGTCCATGTCCACGTCCACGTCCATGTCCACGTCCATGTTCACGTCCACGTCTTGCTCACGTCCACGTCCATGTCCACGTCCACGTCCACGTCCACGTCCACGTCCACGTCCATGTCCACGTCCACGTCCACGTCCATGTCCACGTCCATGTCCACGTCCACGTCCACGTCCACGTCCACTCCACACGTCCACCTCCACGTCCACGTCCACCTCCACGTCCACGTCCACGTCCACGTCCACGTCCACGTCCACGTCCACGTCCATGTCCACGTCCATGTTCACGTCCACGTCCATGTCCACGTCCACGTCCACGTCCATGTCCACGTCCACGTCCATGTCCACGTCCATGTTCACGTCCACGTCCATGTCCACGTCCACGTCCATGTCCACGTCCATGTTCACGTCCACGTCCATGTTCACGTCCACGTCACGTCCACGTCCACGTCCACGTCCATGTCCACGTCCACGTCCATGTCCACGTCCATGTCCACGTCCACGTCCACGTCCACGTCCACGTCCACGTCCATGTCCACGTCCACGTCCATGTCCACGTCCATGTCCACGTCCACGTCCACGTCCATGTCCACGTCCACGTCCACGTCCACGTCCATGTCCACGTCCACGTCCACGTCCACATCCACGTCCACGTCCACGTCCACGTCCACGTCCACGTCCACTCCACGTCCACCTCCACGTCCACGTCCACCTCCACGTCCACCTCCACGTCCACGTCCACGTCCACGTCCACGACCATGTCCACGCCCCCGTCCACGTCCATGTCCACGTCCACGTCCACGACCACGTCCATGTCCAGGTCCATGTCCACGTCCACGTCCACGTCCACGTCCATGTCCACGTCCACGTCCACGTCCACGTCCACGTCCACGTCCACGTCCATGTCCACGTCCACGTCCACGTCCATGTCCACGTCCAAGTCCTCCACGTCCACGTCCACGTCCACGTTCACGTCCATGTCCACGTCCAAGTTCTCCATGTCCACGTCCACGTCCACGTCCACGTCCTCCACGTCCACGTCCACGTCCACGTCCACGTCCACGTCCATGTCCACGTCCACGTCCACGTCTACGTCCACGTCCTCTCCACGTCCACCTCCACGTCCACGTCCACCTCCACGTCCACGTCCACGTCCACGTCCACGTCCACGTCCATGTCCACGTCCAGGTCCACGTTCACGTCCATTTCCACGTCCAAGTTCTCCACGTCCACGTCCACGTCCAAGTCCACGTCCACGTCCACGTCCATGTCCACGTCCACGTCCATGTCCACGTCCATGTTCACGTCCACGTCTTGTTCACGTCCACGTCCATGTTCACGTCCACGTCCACGTCCACGTCCACGTCCATGTCCACGTCCATGTCCACGTCCACGTCCATGTCCACGTCCAAGTCCTCCACGTCCACGTCCACGTCCACGTTCACGTCCATGTCCACGTCCACGTCCACGTCCACGTCCACGTCCACGTCCACGTCCTCCACGTCCACGTCCACGTCTACGTCCACGTCCACGTCCACGTCCATGTCCACGTCCACGTCCACTCCACGTCCACTCCACGTCCACGTCCATGTCCACGTCCACGTCCACGTCCATGTCCACGTCCATGTCCACGTCCACGTCCACGTCCATGTCCACGTCCATGTCCACGTCCACGTCCACGTCCACCTCCACGTCCACGTCCACGTCCACGTCCACGTCCACGTCCACGTCACGTCCACGTCCACGTCCATGTCCACGTCCACGTCCACGTCAACGTCCACGTCCACGTCCACGTCCACTCCACGTCCACGTCCATGTCCACGTCCAAGTCCTCCACGTCCACGTCCACGTTCACGTCCATGTCCACGTCCAAGTTCTCCACGTCCACGTCCACGTCCACGTCCACGGTCCACGTCCTCCACGTCCACGTCCACGTCCACGTCCACGTCCATGTCCACGTCCACGTCCACGTCTACGTCTACGTCCACGTCCATGTCCACGTCCACGTCCACGTCCACGTCCATGTCCACGTCCATGTCCACGTCCACGTCCACGTCCACGTCCACGTCCACGTCGACGTCGACGTCCACTCCATGTCCACCTCCACGTCCACCTCCACCTCCACGTCCACCTCCACGTCCACCTCCACGTCCACGTCCACGTCCACGTCCACGTCCATGTCCACGTCCACGTCCATGTCCACGTCCATGTTCACGTCCACGTCTTGTTCACGTCCACGTCCATGTCCACGTCCACGTCCACGTCCACGTCCACGTCCATGTCCACGTCCACGTCCACGTCCATGTCCACGTCCAAGTCCTCCACGTCCACGTCCACGTCCACGTTCACGTCCATGTCCACGTCCAAGTTCTCCACGTCCACGTCCACGTCCACGTCCACGTCCACGTCCACGTCCTCCACGTCCACGTCCACGTCCACGTCCACGTCCACGTCCACGTCCACGTCCACGTCCACCTCCACGTCCACTCCACGTCCACGTCTTCGTCCACGTCCACGTCCACGTCCATGTCCACGTCCATGTCCACGTCCACGTCCACGTCCATGTCCACGTCCATGTCCACGTCCACGTCCACGTCCACCTCCATGTCCACGTCCACGTCCACCTCCATGTCCACGTCCACGTCCACGTCACGTCCACGTCCATGTCCACGTCCACGTCCACGTCAACGTCCACGTCCACGTCTACGTCCACTCCACGTCCACGTCCACGTCCACTCCACGTCCACGTCCATGTCCACGTCCAAGTCCTCCACGTCCACGTCCACGTTCACGTCCATGTCCACGTCCAAGTTCTCCACGTCCACGTCCACGTCCACGTCCACGTCCACGTCCACGTCCTCCACGTCCACGTCCACGTCCACGTCCACGTCCACGTCCACGTCCACGTCTACGTCTACGTCCACGTCCATGTACACGTCCACGTCCACGTCCATGTCCACGTCCATGTCCACGTCCACGTCCACGTCCACGTCCACGTCCACTCCACGTCCACCTCCACGTCCACGTCCACCTCCACGTCTACGTCCACCTCCACGTCCACGTCCACGTCCACGTCGACGTCCACGTCCACGTCCATGTCCACGTCCACGTCCATGTCCACGTCCATGTTCACGTCCACGTCTTGCTCACAGTCCAGTCCATGTCCACGTCCACGTCCACGTCCACGTCCACGTCCATGTCCACGTCCACGTCCACGTCCATGTCCACGTCCATGTCCACGTCCACGTCCACGTCCACGTCCACGTCCACGTCCACCTCCACGTCCACGTCCACCTCCACGTCCACGTCCACCGTCCACGTCCACGTCCACGTCCACGTCCATGTCCTTGTCCATGTTCACGTCCACGTCCATGTCCACGTCCACGTCCACGTCCATGTCCACGTCCACGCCATGTCCACGTCCATGTTCACGTCCACGTCCATGTCCACGTCCACGTCAATGTCCACGTCCATGTTCACGTCCACGTCCATGTTCACGTCCACGTCCACGTCCACGTCCACGTCCATGTCCACGTCCACGTCCATGTCCACGTCCATGTCCACGTCCACGTCCACGTCCACGTCCACGTCCACGTCCATGTCCACGTCCACGTCAGGTCCACGTCCATGTCCACGTCCACGTCCACGTCCATGTCCACGTCCACGTCCACGTCCCCATGTCCACAGTCCATGTCCACGTCCACGTCCACCCGTCCACATCCACGTCCACGTCCACGTCCACGTCCACGTCCACGTCCACTCCACGTCCACCTCCACGTCCACGTCCACCTCCACGTCCACCTCCACGTCCACGTCCACGTCCACGTCCACGACCATGGTCCACGTCCACGTCCATGTCCACGTCCACGTCCACGACCACGTCCATGTCCAGGTCCATGTCCACGTCCACGTCCACGTCCACGTCCATGTCCACGTCCACGTCCACGTCCACGTCCACGGTCCACGTCCATGTCCACGTCCACGTCCACGTCCATGTCCACGTCCAAGTCCTCCCACGTCCACGTCCACGTCCACGTTCACGTCCATGTCCACGTCCAAGTTCTCCATGTCCACGTCCACGTCCACGTCCACGTCCTCCACGTCCACGTCCACGTCCACGTCCACGTCCATGTCCACGTCCACGTCCACGTCTACGTCCACGTCCTCTCCCACGTCCACCTCCACCTCCACGTCCAACGTCCACGTCCACAGTCCACGTCCACGTCCACGTCCAGGTCCCACGTTCACGTCCATTTCCACGTCCAAGTTCTCCACGTCCACGTCCACGTCCAAGTCCACGTCCACGTCCATGTCCACGTCCACGTCCATGTCCACGTCCATGTTCACGTCCACGTCTTGTTCACGTCCACAGTCCATGTCCACGTCCACGTCCACGTCCACGTCCACGACCAGGGTCACGTCCACGTCCATCTCCACGTCCACGTCCACGTCCACGTCCATGTCCAAGTCCATGTCCACGTCCCACGTCCACGTCCACGTCCATGTCCACGTCAACGTCCACGTCCACGTCCACGTCCACGTCCATGTCCACCGTCCATGTCCACGTCCACGTCCATGTCCACGTCAAGTCCTCCACGTCCACGTCCACGTCCACGTTCACAGGTCCATGCCACGTCCACGTCCACGTCCACGTCCCACGTCCACGGTCCTCCACGTCCACAGTCCCACGTCCACGTCCACGTCCACGTCCACGTCCTCCACGTCCACGTCCACGTCCACGTCCACGTCCACGTCCACGTCCACGTCCATGTCCACGTTCACGTCCACTCCACGTCCACATCCACGTCCACGTCCAATGTCCACGTCCACGGTCCACGGTCCATGTCCACGTCCATGTCCACGTCCACGTCCACGTCCATGTCCACGTCCATGTCCACGTCCACGTCCACCTCCACGTCCACGTCCACGTCCACGTCCACGTCCACGTCAAGTCCACGTCCAAGTCCATGTCCACGTCCACGTCCACGTCAACGTCCACGTCCACGTCCACGTCCACTCCACGTCCACGTCCATGTCCACGTCCAAGTCCTCCACGTCCACGTCCACGTTCACGTCCATGTCCACGTCCAAGTTCTCCACGTCAACGTCCACGTCCACGTCCACGTCCTCCACGTCCACGTCCACGTCCACGTCCACATCCATGTCCACGTCCACGTCACGTCTACGTCTACGTCCACGTCCATGTCCACGTCCACGTCCACGTCCACGTCCATGTCCACGTCCATGTCCACGGTCCACGTCCACGTCCACTCCGTCCCAGTCCCACGTCCACGTCCACGTCCACGTCCACGTCGATGTCGACGTCCACATCCATGTCCACCTCCACGTCCACCTCCACCTCCACGTCCACCTCCACGTCCACCTCCACGTCCACGTCCACGTCCCACGTCCACGTCCATGTCCACGTCCACGTCCATGTCCACGTCCATGTTCACGGTCCACGTCTTGTTCACGTCACGTCCATGTCCACGTCCACAGGCCACGTCCATGTCCACGTCCACGTCCATGTCCACGTCCACGTCCACGTCCATGTCCACGTCCAAGTCCTCCACGTCCACGTCCACGTCCACGTTCACGTCCATGTCCACGTCCAAGTTCTCCACGTCCACGTCCACGTCCACGTCCACGTCCACGTCCTCCACGTCCACGTCCCACGTCCACGTCCACGTCCACGTCCAACGTCCACCGTCCACTCCACGTCCACCGTCCACGTCCACGTCCACAGTCCATGTCCACGTCCATGTCCACGTCCACGTCCACGTCCATGTCCACGTCCATGTCCACGTCCACGTCCACGTCCACCTCCATGTCCACGTCCACGTCCACCTCCACGTCCCGTCCACGTCCACGTCCATGTCCACGTCCACGTCCACGTCCACGTCCATGTCCACGTCCACGTCCACGTCCACGTCCACATCCACGTCCACGTCCACTCCACGTCCACGTCCACGTCCACTCCACGTCCACCTCCACGTCCACGTCCACCTCCACGTCCACCTCCACGTCCACGTCCACGTTCCACGTCCACGACCATGTCCACGTCCACGTCCATGTCCACGTCCACGTCCACGACCACGTCCATGTCCGGTCCATGTCCACGTCCACGTCCACGTCCACGTCCATGTCCACGTCCACGTCCACGTCCACGTCCACGTCCATGTCCACGTCCACGTCCACGTCCATGTCCACGTCCCAAGTCCTCCACTCCACGTCCACGTCACGTCCACGTCCACGTCCATGTCCACGTCCACGTCCCACGTCTCCACGTCCACGTCCACGTCCACGTCCCCACGTCCCGTCCACGTCCACGTCCACGTCCACGTCCACGTCCATGTCCACGTCCACGTCCACAACCACGTCTACGTCCACGTCCTCTCCACGTCCACCTCCACGTCCACGTCCACGTCCACGTCCACGTCCACGTCCACGTCCACGTCCACGTCCATGTCCACGTCCAGGTCCACGTTCACGTCTATTTCCACGTCCAAGTTCTCCACGTCCACGTCCACGTCCACGTCCACGTCCACGTCCATGTCCACGTCCACGTCCATGTCCACGTCCATGTTCACGTCCACGTCTTGTTCACGTCCACGTCCATGTCCACGTCCACGTCCACGTCCACGTCCACGTCCATGTCCACGTCCACGTCCATCGTCCACGTCCACGTCCACGTCCACGTCCATGTCCAGTCCATGTCCACGTCCACGTCCACGTCCACGTCCATGTCCACGTCCACGTCCACGTCCACGTCCACGTCCACGTCCATGTCCACGTCCATGTCCACTCCACGTCCACGTCCATGTCCACGTCCACGTCCTCCACGTCCACGTCCACGTCCACGTTCACGTCCATGTCCACGTCCACGTCCACGTCCACGTCCACGTCCACGTCCTCCACGTCCACGTCCACGTCCACTTCCACGTCCACGTCCACGTCCATGTCCACGTCCACGTCCACTCCACGTCCACTCCACGTCCACGTCCATGTCCACGTCCACGTCCACGTCCATGTCCACGTCCATGTCCACGTCCACGTCCACGTCCATGTCCACGTCCATGTCCACGTCCACGTCCACCCCACGTCCCGTCCACGTCCACGTCCACGTCCACGTCCGTCCACGTTCCACGTCCATGTCCACGTCCACGTCCACGTCAACGTCCACGTCCACGTCCACGTCCAGGTCTACGTCCACGTCCACGTCCATGTCCACTCAAGTCCTCCACGTCCACGTCCACGTCCACGTCCATGTCCACGTCCAAGTTCTCCACGTCCACGTCCACGTCCACGTCCACGTCCTCTCACGTCCACGTCCACGTCCACGTCCACTCCATGTCCACGTCCCCCTCCACGTCCACGTCCACGTCCACGTCCACGTCCATGTCCACGTCCACGTCCACGTCCACGTCCACGTCCACGTCCATGTCCACGTCCACGTCCACGTCCACGTCCACGTCCACGTCCACGTCCACGTCCACGTCCACGTCCGATGTCGACGTCCACGTCCATGTCCACGTCCACGTTCGTCCACCTCCACCTCCACGTCCACGTCCACGTCCACCTCCACGTCCACGTCCACGTCCACGTCCACGTCCATGTCCACGTCCACGTCCATGTCCAGTCCATGTTCACGTCCACGTCTTGTTCACGTCCACGTCCATGTCCACGTCCACGTCCACGTCATGTCCACGTCCACGTCCACGTCCACGTCCACGTCCACGTCCATGTCCACGTCCAAGTCCTCCACGTCCACGTCCACGTCCACGTTCACGTCCATGTCCACGTCCAAGTTCTCCACGTCCACGTCCACGTCCACGTCCACGTCCACGTCCTCCACGTCCACGTCCACGTCCACGTCCACGTCCACGTCCACGTCCACGTCCACGTCCACGTCCACTGTCCACGTCCACGTCCACGTCCACGTCCACGTCCACGTCCATGTCCACGTCCATGTCCACGTCCACGTCCACGTCCATGTCCACGTCCATGTCCACGTCCACGTCCACGTCCACCTCCATGTCCACGTCCACGTCCACCTCCATGTCCACGTCCACGTCCACGTCCACGTCCACGTCCATGTCCACGTCCACGTCCACGTCCACGTCCACGTCCACGTCCCTCCACTCCACGTCCACGTCCACGTCCACTCCACGTCCACGTCCATGTCCACGTCCAAGTCCTCCACGTCCACGTCCACGTTCACGTCCATGTCCACGTCCAAGTTCTCCACGTCCACGTCCACGTCCACGTCCTCCACGTCCACGTCCACGTCCTCCCGTCCACGTCCACGTCCACGTCACACGTCCACGTCCACGTCCACGTCCCAGTCCACGTCCACGTCCACGTCCACATGTCCACGTCCATGTCCACGTCCACGTCCACGTCCACGTCCACGTCCACGTCCACGTCCACGTCCACGTCCACGTCCACGTCCACGTCACGTCCACCTCCACGTCCACGTCCACGTCCACGTCCACGTCCACGTCCACGGTCCATGTCCACGTCCACGTCCACGTCCACGTCCATGTCCACGTCCATGTCCACGTCCACGTCCACGTCCACGTCCACGTCCACTCCACGTCCACCTCCACGTCCACGTCCACCTCCACGTCCACGTCCACGTCCACGTCCACGTCCACGTCCACGTCCATGTCCACGTCCACGTCCACGTCCACTCCACGTCCACGTCCCATTTCCACGTCCACGTCTGTCCACGTCCACGTTCACGTCTACGTCCACGTCCACGTCCACGTCCACGTCCACGTCCACGTCCACGTCCACGTCCACGTCCACGTCCACGTCCACGTCCACGTCCACGTCCACGTCCATGTCCACGTCCACGTCCTGTCCACGTCCACGTCCACGTCCACGTCCACGTCCACGTCCACGTCCATGTCCACGTCCACGTCCATGTCCACGTCCACGTCCACGTCCATGTCCACGTCCACGTCCACGTCCACGTCCACGTCCATGTCCACGTCCAAGTCCTCCACGTCCACGTCCTCCACGTCCACGTCCATGTCCACGTCCAAGTTCTCCACGTCCACGTCCACGTCCACGTCCACGTCCTCCATGTCCACGTCCACGTCCACGTCCACGTCCACGTCCACGTCCACGTCCACGTCCATGTCCACGTCCCACGTCCACTCCACGTCCACTCCACGTCCACGTCCACGTTCCACGTCCATGTCCACGTCCATGTCCCGTCCACGTCCACGTCCACGTCCACGTCCAGTCCACGTCCACGTCCACGTCCACGTCCCCCCACGTCCACGTCCACGTCCACGTCCCACGTCCACGTCCATGTCCACGTCCACGTCCCGTCCACGTCACGTCCACGTCCACGTCCTGTCCACGTCCACGTCCACGTCCACGTCCACGTCCACGTCCACGTCCCTCCACGTCCACGTCCATGTCCACGTCCACGTCCTCACGTCCACGTCCACGTCCACGTTCACGTCCCATGTCCACGCGTCCAATTCTTCACGTCCACGTCCACGTCCACGTCCACGTCCATGTCCCGTCCACGTCCACGTCCACGTCCACGTCCATGTCCACGTCCACGTCCACGTCTACGTCCACGTCCACGTCCATGTCCCGTCCACGTCCACGTCCACGTCCATGTCCACGTCCATGTCCACGTCCACGTCCACGTCCACGTCCACGTCCACGTCCACGTCCCGTCCACGTCCACGTCCACTCCTCGTCCACCTCCACTCCACGTCCACTCCACGTCCACGTCCACGTCCACGTCCACGTCCACGTCCATGTCCACGTCCAGGTCCACATTCACGTCCATGTCCACGTCCACGTTCTCCACGTCCACGTCCACGTCCACGTCCACGTCCATGTCCACGTCCACGTCCATGTCCACGTCCATGTCCACGTCCACGTCTTGTTCACGTCCACGTCCATGTCCACGTCCACGTCCACCCACGTCCACGTCCATGTCCACGTCCACGTCCACCACGTCCACGTCCACGTCCACGTCCACGTCTATGTTCCACGTCCACGTCCCACGTCCACGTCCATGTCCACGTCCACGTCCACTCCATGTCCACGTCCAAGTCCCACGTCCACGTCCACGTCCACGTCCACGTCCATGTCCACGTCCAAGTTCTCCACGTCCCGTCGTCCACGTCCACGTCCATGTCCTCCCACGTCCACGTCCATGTCCTCCACGTCCACGTCCACGTCCACGTCCACGTCCATGTCCACGTCCACGTCCACGTCCACGTCCATCCACGTCCACGTCCACGTCCACGTCCACGTCCACGTCCACGTCCACGTCCCGTCCACGTCCACGTCCACGTCCACGTCCACGTCCATGTCCACGTCCACGTCCCAGTCCCACCTCCATGTCCACGTCCACGTTCACGTCCACGTCCACGTCCACGTCCACGTCCACGTCCACGTCCAATGTCCACGTCCACGTCCACGTCACATCCACGTCCACGTCCACGTCCACTCCTTCCACGTCCACGTCCACGTCCACGTCCACGTCCTCCACGTCCACGTCCACGTCCACGTCACGCGTCCACGTCCACGTCCAAGTTCTCCACGTCCACGTCCACTCCACGTCCACGTCCTCCACGTCCACGTCCACGTCCACGTCCACGTCCATGTCCACGTCCATGTCCACGTCCACGTCCCACGTCCACGTCCACGTCCACGTCCACGTCCACGTCCACGTCCACGTCCACGTCCACGTCCACGTCCACGTCCACGTCCACGTCCACGTCCACGTCCACGTCCACCTCCCGTCCACGTCCAACGTCCACGTCCACCTCCACGTCCACATCCACGTCACGTCCACGTCCATGTCCACGTCCAGGTCCACGTTCACGTCCATGTCCACGTCCAGTTCTCAACGTCCACGTCCACGTCCACGTCCACGTGTCCACGTCCACGTCCACGTCCATGTCCACGTCCACGTCCATGTCCACGTCCATGTTACGTCCACGTCTTGTTCACGTCCACGTCCATGTCCACGTCCACGTCCACGTAGTCCACGTCCACGGTCCACGACCATGTCCACGTCCACGTCCATGTCCACGTCCACGTCCACGTCCACGTCCATGTCCCTGTCCACGTCCACGTCCACGTCCACGTCCATGTCCACGTCCACGTCCACGTCCACGTCCACGTCCACGTCCACTCCACGTCCACGTCCACGTCCACGTCCATGTCCACGTCCAAGTTCTCCACGTCCACGTCCACGTCCACGTCCTCCACGTCCACGTCCGCGTCCACGTCCGCGTCACGTCCGCGTCCACGTCCAGGTCCACGTTCACGTCCATGTCCACGTCCAAGTTCTCCACGTCCACGTCCACGTCCACGTCCACGTCCATGTCCGTCCACGTCCATGTCCACGTCCATGTTCACGTCCACGTCTTGTTCACGTCCACGTCCATGTCCACGTCCACGTCCACGTCCACGTCCACGTCCACGTCCATGTCCACGTCCACGTCGATGTCCACGTCCACGTCCACGTCCACGTCCATGTCCAGGTCCACGTCCACGTCCACGTCCACGTCCACGTCACGTCCACGTCCAGGTCCAGTCCACGTCCACGTCCACGTCCACGTCCATGTCCACGTCCACGTCCACGTCCATGTCCACGTCCACGTCCACATCCACGTCCACGTCCACGTCCACGTCCACGTCCACGTCCACGTCCATGTCCACGTCCAAGTCCTCCACGTCCACGTCCACGTTCACGTCCATGTCCACGTCCAAGTTCTCCACGTCCACGTCCACGTCCACGTCCACGTCCACGTCCTCCACGTCCACGTCCACGTCCACGTCCATGTCCACGTCCACGTCCACGTCTACGTCCTACGTCCACGTCCATGTCCACGTCCACGTCCACGTCCACGTCCATGTCCACGTCCATGTCCACGTCCACGTCCACGTCCACGTCCACGTCCACGTCCATGTCCACGTCCATGTCCACGTCCACGTCCACGTCCACGTCCACGTCCATGTCCACGTCCACGTCCCGTCCACGTCCACGTCCACGTCCATGTCACGTCCACGTCCACGTCCATGTCCACGTCCAAGTCCTCCACGTCCACGTCCACGTCCACGTCACGTCCATGTCCACGTCCAGGTTCTCCACGTCACGTCCACGTCCACGTCCCCCCCCACGTCCAACGTCCACGTCCACGTCCACGTCCACGTCCTCCACGTCCACGTCCACATCCACGTCCACGTCCACGTCCACGTCCACATCCACGTCCACGTCCACGTCCATGTCCACGTCCACGTCCACTCCACGTCCTCCACGTCCACGTCCACGTCCACTCCACGTCCACGTCCACGTCCATGTCCACGTCCACGTCCACGTCCACGTCCACGTCCACGTCCACGTCCACGTTCACGGTCCACGTCCACGTCCACGTCCGCGTCCACGTCCACCTCCACGTCCGCGTCCAGTCCACGTCCACGTCCGCGTCCACGTCCGCGAGTTCTCCGCGTCCACGTCCAGGTCCACGTTCACTTCCATGTCCACGTCCAAGTTCTCCACGTCCACGTCCACGTCCACGTCCACGTCCATGTCCACGTCCACGTCCATGTCCACGTCCATGTTCACGTCCACGTCTTGTTCACGTCCACGTCCATGTCCACGTCCACGTCCACGTCCACGTCCATGTCCACGTCCACGTCCATGTCCACGTCCACGTCCACATCCACGTCCATGTCCACGTCCACGTCCACGTCCACTGTCCACGTCCACGTCCACGTCCGTCCACGTCCAGGTCCCACGTCCACGTCCACGTCCACGTCCCACGTCCATGTCCCAGGTCCACGTCCACGTCCACGTCCACGTCCACGTCACGTCCACGTCCAGGTCCACGTCCACGTCACGTCCACGTCCACGTCCATGTCCACGTCCACGTCCACATCACGTCCACGTCCACGTCCACGTCCATTCCACGTCCACGTCCATGTCCACGTCCAAGTCCTCCACGTCCACGTCCACGTTCACGTCCATGTCCACGTCCAAGTTCTCCACGTCCACGCCACGTCCACGTCCCACGTCCACGTCCTCCACGTCCACGTCCACGTCCACGTCCACGTCCATGTCCACGTCCACGTCCACGTCTACGTCCACGTCCACGTCCATGTCCACGTCCACGTCCACGTCCACGTCCATGTCCACGTCCATGTCCACGTCCACGTCCACGTCCACGTCCACGTCCACGTCCATGTCCAGGTCCACGTCCACGTCCACGTCCACGTCCCGTCCACGTCCACTCCACGTCCACGTCCACGTCCACGTCCACGTCCACGTCCACGTCCATGTCCACGTCCACGTCCACGTCCACGTCCATGTCCACGTCCATGTCCACGTCCACGTCCACGTCCACGTCCACGTCCACGTCCATGTCCAGGTCCACGTCCAGGTCCACGTCCACGTCACGTCCACGTCCACGTCCATGTCCACGTCCACGTCACATCAACGTCCACGTCCACGTCCACGGTCCACCTCCACGTCCACGTCCATGTCCACGTCAAGTCCCTTCCACGTCCACGTCCACGTCACGTCCACGTCCACGTCCAAGTTCTCCACGTCCCGTCCACGTCCACGTCCACGTCCACGTCCTCCACGTCCACGTCCACGTCCACGTCCACGTCCATGTCCACGTCCACGTCCACGTCTACCCCCATGTCCACGTCCACGTCCATGTCCACGTCCACGTCCACGTCCACGTCCATGTCCGGTCCACGTCCGTCCACGTCCACGTCCACAGTCCACGTCCATGTCCACGTCCACGTCCACGTCCACGTCCACGTCCATGTCCACGTCCACGTCCACGTCCATGTCCACGTCCACGTCCTCACGTCCCGTCCCCGTCCACGTCCACGTCCATGTCCACGTCCAAGTTCTCCACGTCCACGTCCACGTCCACGTCCTCCACGTCACACGTCCACGTCCACGTCCACGTCCACGTCCTCCACGTCCACGTCCACGTCCACGTCCACGTCCACGTCCACGTCCAATCCCGTCCACGTCCACGTCCATGTCCACGTCCACGTCCCACTCCACGTCCACTCCACGTCCACGTCCACGTCCACCTCCACGTCCACGTCACGTCCACGTCCACGTCCACGTCCACGTCCACGTCCACCTCCTGTCCACGTCCACGTCCACGTCCACGTCCACGTCCCGTCCACGTCCACGTCCACGTCCACGTCCATGTAGTCCACGTCCACGTCACGTCCACGTCCACCTCCACGTCCACGTCCACGTCCACGTCCACGTCCACGTCCACGTCCACGTCCACGTCCAGGTCCACGTCCACGTCCATGTCCACGTCCACGTTCTCCACGTCCCGTCCACGTCCACGTCCACGTCTGTCCACGTCCACGTCCATGTCCACGTCCATGTTCACGTCCACGTCTTGTCCACGTCCACGTCCATGTCCACGTCCACGTCCACGTCCACGTCCACGTCCACGTACATGTCCACTCGACGTCCATGTCCACGTCCACGTCCACGTCCACGTCCCATGTCCAGTTCCACGTCCACGTCCACGTCCACTCCACGTCCACGTCCACGTCCAGGTCCACGTCCACGTCACGTCCACGTCCACGTCCATGTCCACGTCCACGTCCATGTCCACGTCCATGTTCACGTCCACGTCTTGTTCACGTCCACGTCCATGTCCACGTCCACGTCCACGTCCACGTCCACACCATGTCCACGTCCACGTCCACTTCCCCCCACTGTCCACGTCCACGTCCACGTCCATGTCCACGTCCACGTCCACGCCTACGTCCACGTCCACGTCCACGTCACGTCCACGTCCAGGTCCACGTCCACGTCACGTCCACGTCCACGTCCATGTCCACGTCCACGTCCACGTCCACGTCCACGTCCACGTCCCACGTCCACGTCCACGTCCACGTCCATGTCCACGTCAAGTCCTCCACGTCCACGTCCATGTTCACGCGTCCATTCCACGTCATCTCCACGTCCACGTCCACGTCCACGTCCCCAGTCCACGTCCACGTCCTCCACGTCCACGTCCACGTCCTCCACGTCCACGTCCACGTCCACGTCCACGTCCATGTCCACGTCCACGTCCACGTCCATGTCCACGTCCACGTCCATGTCCACGTCCATGTCCACGTCCACGTCCACGTCCACAACGTCCACGTCCACGTCCCACGTCCACTCCCGTCCACGTCCACGTCCACGTCCACCTCACGTCCACGTCCACGTCCACGTCCACGTCCACGTCCACGTCCACGTCCACGTCCATGTCCACGTCCAGGTCCCACGTCCACGTCCATGTCCACGTCCAAGTTCTCTCCACGTCCACGTCCCGTCCACGTCCACGTCCACGTCCACGTCCACGTCCTACCACGTCCACGTCCATGTCCACGTCCATGTCACGTCCACGTCTTGTTCACGTCCACGTCCATGTCCACGTCCCGTCCACGTCCACGTCCACGACCATGTCCACGTCCATGTCCACGTCCACGTCCACGTCCACGTCCACGTCCACGTCCACGTCCACGTCCACGTCCACGTCCACGTCCATGTCCACGTCCACGTCCACGTCCACGTCCACGTCCACTCCACGTCCACTTCCAAGTCGTCCACGTCCATGTCCACGTCCAAGTCCTCCACGTCCATGTCCACGTCCACGTTCACGTCCATGTCCACGTCCAATTCTCCACGTCCACGTCCACGTCACGTCCACGTCCTCCCACGTCCACGTCCACGTCCACGTCCACGTCCATGTCCACGTCCACGTCCACGTCCACGTCCACGTCCACGTCCACGTCCACGTCCACGTCCATGTCCACGTCCACGTCCACGTCCATGTCCACGTCCATGTCCACGTCCACGTCCACGTCCACCTCCATGTCCACGTCCACGTCCACCACGTCCACGTCCAGTCCACGTCCACGTCCACGTCCACGTCCACGTCTACGTCCACGTCACGTCCACGTCCATGTCCATGTCCACGTCCACGTCCACGTCACGTCCACGTCCACGTCCACGTCCACTCCCACGTCCACGTCCATGTCCACGTCAAGTCCTCCACGTCCACGTCCACGTCCACGTCACGTCCTGTCCACGTCCAAGTCCTCCACGTCCACGTCCCACGTCCACGTCCACGTCCACGTCCTCCACGTCCACGTCCACGTCCCGTCCACGTCCATGTCCACGTCCACGTCCACGTCTACGTCCACGTCCACGTCCATGTCCCACGTCACGTCCCGTCCACGTCCACGTCCACGTCCATGTCCACGTCCACGTCCACGTCCACGTCCACGTCCCCGTCCACGTCCACGTCCACTTCCACGTCCACCTCCACGTCCACGTCCACGTCTCCCCGTCCATGTCCACGTCCACGTCCACGTCCACGTCACGTCCATGTCCACGTCCAGGTCCACGTTCACGTCCGTCCCGTCCACGTTCTCCACGTCCCACGTCCACGTCCACGTCCACAGTCCATGTCCACGTCCACGTCCATGTCCACGTCCATTTTCACGTCCACGTCTGTTTTCACGTCCACTGTCCATGTCCACGTCCACGTCCACGTCCACAGACCCGTCCACGTCCACGTCCACTGTCCACGTCCACACGTCCACGTCCACGTCCACGTCCACGTCCACGTCCTCCACGTCCACGTCCACCATGTCCACGTCCACGTCCACGTCCATGTCCACGTCCACGTCCACGTCCATGTCCACGTCCAAGTCCACTCCACGTCCACGTCCACGTCCACGTTCACGTCCACGTCCACGTCCAAGTTCTCCACTCCACGTCCACGTCCACGTCCTCCACGTCCACGTCCACGTCCACGTCCACGTCCACGTCCATGTCCACGTCCACGTCCACGTCCACGTCCACTCCACGTCCACGTCCACGTCCATATCCACGTCCATGTCCACGTCCACGTCCACGTCCATGTCCACGGTCCATGTCCACGTCCAGTCCACGTCCACCCCATGTCCACGTCCACGTCCACGTCCATGTCCATGTCCCGTCCACGTCCACGTCCACGTCACGTCAACGTCCACGTCCATGTCCACGTCCACGTCCACGTCCACGTCCACGTCCACGTCCACGTCCACGTCCACGTCCACGTCCATGTCCACGTCCAAGTCCTCCACGTCCACGTCCACGTCCACGTCCACGTCCATGTCCACGTCCAAGTTCTCCACGTCCACGTCCACGTCTACGTCGTCCACGTCCACGTCCACGTCCACGTCCACGTCCATGTCCACGTCACGTCCACGTCCACGTCCACTTCCACGTCCACGTCCACGTCCACGTCCACGTCCACGTCCATGTCCACGTCCATGTCCACGTCCACTCCACGTCCCATTTCCACGTCCATGTCCACGTCCACGTCCACCTCCACGTCCACTTCCACGTCCACGTCCCACGTCCCACGGTCACGTCCACGTCCACGTCCACGTCCACGTCCATGTCCACGTCCACGTCCACGTCCACGTCCACCTCCACGTCCCTCCCGTCCCGCCTCCACGTCCACCTCCACGTCCACCTCCATGTCCACGTCCACGTCCACGTCCACGTCCATGTCCACGTCCACGTCCACGTCCACGTCACGTCCACGTTCACGTCCCATGTCCACGTCCACGTCCATGTCCACGTCTAAGTCTCACGTCCATGTCCACGTCCAAGTCCTCCACGTCCATGTCCACGTCCACGTTCACGTCCACGTCCACGTCCACGTGCTCCATGTCCACGTCCACGTCCACCACCACGTCCACTCCACGTCCACGTCCACCTCCACGTCCCCGTCCACGTCCATGTTCACACGTCCCTCCACGTCCACAGTGTTCCACGTCCATTCCACGTCCACGTCCACGTCCATGTCCACATCCATTCCACGTCCACGTCCACGTCCACACCTCCATGTCCACGTCCACGTCCACGTCCACGTCCATGTCCACGTCCACGTCCACGTCCACGTCACGTCCACGTCCACGTCCATGTCCACGTCCACGTCCTCGTCAACGTCCACGTCCACGTCCACGTCCACGTCCATGTCCACGTCCAAGTCCTCCACGTCCACGTCCACGTCCACGTTCACGTCCATGTCCACGTCCAAGTTCTCCACGTCCACGTCCACGTCCACGTCCACGTCCACGTCCTCCACGTCCACGTCCACGTCCATGCCATGTCCACGTCCACGTCCACGTCTACGTCTACGTCCACGTCCATGTCCACGTCCACGTCCACGTCCCGTCCATGTCCACGTCCATGTCCACGTCCACGTCCACGTCCACGTCCATGTCCACGTCCACGTCCACTCCAAGTCCACCTCCACGTCCACGTCCACGTCCACGTCCACGTCCACGTCCACGTCATGTCCAGTCCAGGTCCACGTTCACGTCCATGTCCACGTCCAAGTTCTCCACGTCCACGTCCACGTCCACGTCCACGTCCACGTCCATGTCCACGTCCACGTCCATGTCCACGTCATGTTCACGTCCACGTCTTGTTCACGTCCACGTCCATGTCCACGTCCCGTCCACGTCCACGTCCACGTCCACGTCCACGTCCATGACCATGTCCACGTCCATGTCCATGTCCACGTCCACGTCCATGTCCGGTCCATGTCCACGTCCACGTCCACGTCCACGTTCACGTCCATGTCCACGTCCAAGTTCTCTCACGTCCACGTCCACGTTCACGTCCACGTCCTTTACGTCCACGACCACGTCCACGTCCACGTCCACGTCCACGTCCATGTCCACGTCCACGTCCATTCCATGTCCACTCCACGTCCACGTCCACGTCCACGTCCACGTCCACGTCCATGTCCACGTCCATGTCCACGTCCACGTCCACGTCCATGTCCACGTCCATGTCCACGTCCACGTCCACGTCCACCTTCATGTCCACGTCCACGTCCACGTCCACGTCCATGTCCACGTCCACGTCCACGTCCACGTCACGTCCACGTCCACGTCCATGTCCACGTCCACGTCCACGTCAACGTCCACGTCCACGTCCACTCCACGTCCACGTCCATGTCCACGTCCAAGTCCTCCACGTCCACGTCCACGTCCACGTTCACGTCCATGTCCACGTCCAAGTTCTCCACGTCCACGTCCACGTCCACGTCCACGTCCACGTCCTCCACGTCCACAATCCACGTCCACGTCCATGTCCACGTCCACGTCCACGTCTACGTCCACGTCCACGTCCATGTCCACGACCCCGTCCCGTCCATGTCCACGTCCACCGTCCACGCCACGTCCACGTCCACGTCCACGTCGTCCACGTCCACGTCCACGTCCATGTCCACAGTCCACGTCCACGTCCACTCCACGTCCACCTCCACCTCCACGTCCACGTCCACCTCCACGTCCACGTCCACGTCCACGTCCACGTCCAGTCCATGTCCACGTCCAGGTCCACGTTCACGTCCATGTCCACGTCCAATTCTCCACGTCCACGTCCCGGTCCACGTCCATGTCCACGTCCACGTCCATGTCCACGTCCATGTTTCACGTCCACGTCTTGTTTCACGTCCACGTCCATGTCCATGTCCACGTCCACGTTTCACGTCCACGTCCACGACCATGTCCACGTTCACGTCCATGTCCACGTCCACGTCCACGTCCACGTCCATGTCCAGGTCCATGTCCAGTCCACGTCCACGTCCACGTCATGTCCACGTCCACGTCCACGTCCACGTCCATGTCCACGTCCACGTCCACGTCCATGTCCACGTCCAAGTCCTCCACGTCCACGTCCACGTCCACTTTCACGTCCAATGTCCACGTCCAAGTTCTCCACGTCCCGTCCACGTCCACGTCCTCCACGTCCACGTCCACGTCCACGTCCACGTCCACGTCCACGTCCACGTCCACGTCAACTCCACGTCCACTCCATGTCCACGGTCCACGGTCTACGTCGACGTCCACGTCCCATGTCCACGTCCATGTCCACGTCCACGTCCACGTCCATGTCCACGTCCATATCCACGTCCACGTCCATGTCCACCTCCATGTCCACGTCCACGTCCACAGTCAAAATAAAGAACAAGGGCCTGAGCGTGTGCAAAATAAAAAGAACAAGGCCTAGCGTGTGCAAATTGAAAGAACAAGGGCCTAGCGTGTGCAAAATTGCAAGATCAAGGCCTAGCGAGTGCAAATAGCAAGAGAAAGGCCTAGCGTGTGCAAACAAGAACAAGGCCTAGCGTTCGCGAAATAGCAGGAGCAAGGGCCTAGTGTGTGCAAAATAAAAGAACAAGGGTCTAGCATGTGCAAAATTGCAAGAAAAAGGGCCTAGCGTGTGCAAAAATAAAAGAACTAGGGCATAGCGTATGCAAAATAGCAAGAACAAGGGCCTAGCGTGTGCAAAATAAAAAGAACAAGGGCCTAGCGTGTGCAAAATAAAAAGAACAAGGGTCTAGCATGTG